TGATGGTCGAGAAGTATAGATCCAGTTGCAGGAGGAATCCCTGGCAGCAGGCAGCTGTTCCATCAAAATCCCCAGGTCGGGATATATGAATCCCTCTGGGTGCTGGGGTGTGGGTGTCTGGATCCGGTCGCTCAGCTGGTCCCGAAAGATCGGGTCCTCTTCTCTCCAGGTGTTGGACGACCTGGAGAACCCGATCCATCGCTTCTCCCAAGTTGGCTAGCATCGTAGAATGCTCCTGTACTCACGCCACGACTCCAGGCATGTACTCCTCTCCTGCTGACTCCATGTCTTGGGTGTGTGATTCTGTGATGAGTGATTTCGAAGGAGTCAGGCGCAGGAGGGTAAATCACAGAATAACAGGATTTATTCCGAAACACAGAGTTACGCAGAAATGCGTCAAAAACACTCCAGTGCGCAAAACAGGCGCACTGGAAATAACAAGGCACGCAGGGAAATATCCCGGCGATACAAAATACACGGAGCTCCACCGAGCTTCTCTACCCTCCACAATAAACAATCACACAGAAAGACAAGGGGGCAGAGGGAACACTTATACCAGTACTGATGAGGGGATATTAACCAGGTGTGTGTAATAAACAAGACAAAACAAATGGAATGATGAGATGAGGAGTGGCAGTGGCTAGAAGGCCGGTGACGACGAACGCCGAAGCCTGCCCGAACAAGGAGAGGAGGCAGCTTCGCTTCTGTAGCCATGCACAAATGACAGTATAGCGCCAAACCTACCGGGTTGATTTATGATTTCTAGAATGTTTTAATTATATGCCCAGACTTTTCACTTAATATTTTCAATTTGTATCGTGTTAAATATTAGCCACTATTGGTAGCCACCGTTAGTTATACCCACATAAATGATACTTTAGAGTTAGTTTCCTTACATTTTGCATCATTCCATTACATCGATAGTTTACCTTTCTTTTCTCTGTCATATTTGTGTGGTTGTTCCTGAGGATCGCTAGCAATCGTGGATCATATTAGGCTAACGTATTAGATGTTGTGCAATAATTTAGGATATGTAGCCTATTTTAATCATTATGAAAAGCAGACCATATGTAGCAGTTTAAACCTGGAGCCTGACACACGGTTCACGACTGGACCATTGTCATCACAGTTCCATGATTAGTGAGGATTGTTAGGGTAGATTTATAGGACTACTGGGCAACCCCTATTGTATGCTTTTCTCACTTTCCAATATTTCAACGATTAAACTTGAATATGGCAACATTCAGGATGAATCAACCCACTGTATTTTTTATGCATTCATACATTTTGTGCGTAAAGGTTCTCCAAACCTGTTTTTTATGATTTATCAATACTTTCCTAACTCTAAATAATCTACAAGATCAGAGTAATTTTTTATCTCCCAATTGGTGGTGAAACGGAGACGAATATGCATTATTTACATGACTTTCGTTCATTGATCCCTAATAATCTGAACCGTTCTCTCCATACTCCAGTGAGTCTGTCGAGAAATCCAAATTAAAGGTACACCCAATTTAAAGTGGCAATCAGCAGTTGAAACAATAACAAAGCGTACTCCACACCCCTGTTCGGTAAAAAGCTGAGGGATTGGGCTGGAGAAATGTGACCACTCTCAAATTCATAGACAGAGCTATGGACGCAATGTTTTGAGGCTATCTAGTGTTTGTTTACCTAGTTTACAAACATTGGAGTATAACAAGCTTATATTTTGGGTTCTGATAGGGTAGGACAGTTGAACTAAGCTCATGAGTCAGTTATGTTCTTCAAGAATCAGTGGGTACATATCATAGATTTCTAAGTCCAAAAAATTGATGTAGCAACTCTGAATTGCCCCTTTTAAGTAATTGCTTTAGCTAAATGTACTGAAAACACTATTGAAGGAAAACTCCATGAGAAGATCTGTTGGCCAGAAAGTGGGAGGGTTTTCAGAGGTTGAATTACATTTATTCAGCGAGCGCAAGGGAACCACGCCTGCAAAGCCCGTTATACACCAGCATATGGTGTCTGAATACCAACTACTGAGAAATGCGTAGGAAAGGTGTGCATAGGAACGTGTACATTTCCTAAGTCTGAATCGGCCCTAAGAGAACAGGGAATCTTGATACTGTTGCATATGACATTTGCTCCTGTAAGTCGCTCTGGATAAGAGCGTCTGCTAAATGACTAAAATGTAAATGTAAATTTGTCAAGTTCATTCACCATAAGTAATACCACACAGTAGTAGTCCACTGTGTTAGAAATGAATATTACAGTACTTCACATTCAATGTTTTGGTGCATCAATATTGCATGGACAGAGGGGATGATTGTAACAGTGTAATAACATTACATTGTAATAACGTTATACAAAATATTTAGTAATTCTAGCAGTTTGATAGCCTACACAATGAGAACACTGTGTGGTGAACTTCTTTAGAGGAAGGCAAAATCCTTTAATTGAAATGTGATTAAATGAACACAAATGAACTTGATGCATGGATGATTTTCACAACCATGTCCATTATCCATCCATGATCAATTATTATGTTGCTTTCTATTGGGGTCATTTGAACCTCCTGAAAATAGGCTACTATCAGTCAACTTCCCCAGTCTCCATTCACTGCAACAGTTGTATCGTTTCTGTATTGTATTGATGGGCCCCTGTAGCTCAGTTGGTAGAGCATGGCGATTGCAACGCCAGAGTTGTGGGTTCGTTTCCCACGGGGGGGGCAGTATGAAAAAAATGTATGCACTAACTGTAAGTCGCTGTCTGCTAAATGACTAAAATGTAAATGTATGGGCAGATAAGGATGACAGAAACACTTGGAAATGTTACTGTCCTCCGTCACTAAACATCCCACATGTAGGCGTACACATCTTGATTGACATATCCAGAGACCAGCCTCCGCGCTCCGTTGGCCAATTGCGGCACAGAGCTGGGTCGAGCCTTCAGATCCAACCTCTTATTTTGACTCGTATAACACGCACACCCGCAGTCACGTGACGGTAATATAGTACAACTACTCTGCCTCGCTGCTAGTCAGTCTGAACGGTTCTGCTAGGCAAGTCTCAAGGGCAAACCATGCATTAGAGATTCCCCATCAAATGCAAAGGAAAAGACAATGCATTGGAATAAAAAAAGGGATTTGTAACTGCTTTATTGAAAAAGGTAAGATGGAGTTTTACCGCATATTTTCCTTGGGAATGCAAGAGATCTTGGGCGTGCGTTCCTCCAACCTTCGACCGTATGCTGCAGCACGCACCACTGGACGAAAACATGTTTATGTTGTAGCGCTGACGCTGCGCTTACTCGCGCATCCTATGTTACGGGATGGACAGAAGATGTGCTCGTTTGCTTCAAAACTAGAATCAATCTGTTGACGGTTATGAGTTATGATAAAATGAGACAAGGAGATGTTTAAAAATTATACTTTTCTGCCAATAATCCGTAGAGACGTAGGCCTAGCCTACGGTGTTTAAATTACTTTGCAACTGATTTACATGTTATCCATATGTATGCCTATATAAGCTTATTTGTGTTAAAGATTGTTTTAAAATATTCTCAATTATGTTGTAATTATTCAGTGTTTGTTATGTAATAGCATGTAATTGCCTGAATAATATTTTGACGCACATGTGGCTTGACTAATAGAGATTATAAAAGCATTGATTTACTGCTTGTATTCCGCGCATGTGACAAATACATTTTGATTTGATTAATGGTCAAGCAGAAAATAATCTTATGAAATCACATTTTATTTGTCTGAACAAGATAAGCGGTCAAGCAGAAAAAAATCGAATCAAATCAAATGTTATTTGTCACATGCGAGGAATACAACAGTTTTAGACCGTGAAATGGTTGCTTCCCAACGAGTAAAAATAAAAAATGTAATTCAATAATAAATAATGACACTATAATCGCGTGTCATTCCACTTCAAGTGATGTTGATGTATTGCGTTTTGAGTGTTATGTGAAGAGCGTGACAGGTGAAGAGCGTGACAGGTGATTTATACACTGTTAGGAGCGCAGTGGTCACAGCTGCCCCACGCTGTGTTATGTTAATAATGTTGACAGTTCCTTTGGCGGTTTACTGTCGGTCACTGAGCCAAGAGGCCCGGAGAAGGGGACAGACGGTCAAACATTGATGACCATCTCAGCTTTGCCTATTTTTGTTGTGTTTTTTTTAAAGCTGCATGGTTTTTGCCAAATTACAAATGAAAATAAAAAAATAATGGCAACGTTTTGTAAGATAGAAAAGATGAAGATTCTTCACTATAGTAGACTAAAACCTTTGTTCAAATAACAGAATATCCAATGAGTTCATTTGATAAAAAAATGCACTCAAAACCAATTTAAATGTAGCCTAAATGTGTGAGGCAAAGGTGTGCTTTGGCAGGAATTAATTTCCATTGTGTGATGTCATAGAGTTATTTTTAATTGTGTTGAATCTGAAATACAAGTAAAGGAATGCGATAGTGGCCTATGCTCTCTGGAAACCGCTTCAGCTCTCAAGCCAACCGCGTGTGAACTTGAAATGGAAACAGGCACAGCATTCCATATTTTGAACATGCAAGCCAGGAATGGAGAGGCTGAAGATAATTTGTTTCACAGGTGGTGCATTTCCGATTCATGACTTGTGCTTAGGTCTTGCCTATCTGTTATTTTGCATGTGGACTCTTGTCTGTGTGTTCTTACAGTGACATGTATTACTATCTAATACAGTGTATTAATCTCAAAACTCAGTTTAGTAATCTTCTCTCTCTTCTTCTCTCCTAATTTGTGTTTGTCTAGATCTATCCTGGCTGGAAACCTTGGAATGAAAGACTTTTCCTACCAAAGAGAGAACAACAGGTGTTTCTCTATTTCTCTTCTGTGAAGCACGACCTTGCTGTGGTGACCCCTTCTGGGGTTTATTTGGTGACAGATTCCCGACAACAAGAGGAACAACCCTAACAAACTGTTATATCAGCAACAATTTTCATCACAAAGTGGGGTGACATTCTCTTGGCCCATAGCCAGGAATGGTGGATAACTTCCTAGTGAGGGCCGAGGAGACTTTCTTACCTTACGATAGCTCCCCACCGGTGTATCACCTGTCGGACATGGTGACGGACGCAGGGACCTACCAGGTGATGCCCTCGCCCTTCTCCGAGGACGACCTGAGCGAGTCGTCCAGCCCTCGCTCCTGTTCTAGCCCTGACTCCCAAGTGCTCAGCTCCAGCTATGGCAGCAGCTCTAGCGCCGAGAGCTCAGACAGCATCCTGGACTTCCTGCTGTCCCAGACTTCCCTAGGCGGAACAGGGACCGCGGCGGCCATCCCCATGTCACTGCCCACCTTTCTGTGGGACTCACAAAGGGATGCGCCGTCCCACCCCCATCCAGAGGCCTTGAAAGAGGAGAGCGTGGACTTCTCTGTCTGGTCCTTGGTGGACATGGATGAGCCATCCTTCCAGCCCACCTTGGAGGAGATAGAGGAGTTCCTGGAGGAGAACATGGAGGTGGTGTCATCCATAAAGCAGGAGGCCCGGGAGGGGGCGCTGGGGATGGGTCTAGAGGAGATCATGGGACTGGGGGTGGGACTGGAGGTGTACAGGGAGTCCTCATCCCCAGGGCCAAGGCTGGAGCTCGAGGCCAAGCATTCAGACCAAACTGTGTCAACCGAGAATGCCGCCACCACCACCGAGACCAAAAGCACACCGGCCACACCGGCACAGGAGTCCATAGAAGGCCCGCATGATGACAGGTCCAAGAGTGGTTCATTATCCAGCAGGCTCGGGTCAGCAGAGAGCAGTGCAAACGGTGGCAGCGGTGGGATGCCGGTCATCCTGCAGATCCAGCCCATGCAGATCAAACAGGAACCCGGTTCCACGGCTCCTCATCCTCCTCCCCAAGTTGTCCAGCCTCCCCCTCAGCCGGCATCAGACATCAAAATTGCCCAGCTGCTGGTCAACATCCAGGGGCAGACCTTCGCCCTGGTGCCCCAGCTGCTGCCCTCCACCAGCCTCAATGTCTCCTCCAAGTTTGTGCGCATCGCTCCAGTTCCCATTGCAGCCAAGCCCCTGGGCCTCGGGGAGGTGGTGGTTGGGGTCCAGGGCCAAGGGCTCCTGGTCGGGGGTCAGCAGTTTCAGAAGAACCCTGTGGCGGACCTCATCAAAATGCACAAATGCACTTTCCCCAGCTGCACCAAGATGTACACCAAGAGCAGCCACCTGAAAGCCCACCTCCGGAGACACACAGGGGAGAAACCTTTCGCCTGCACCTGGCCGGGCTGTGGATGGAGGTGAGTGGGTGCTCATTGACTATGATGATGATCATCATCATTTTATGGATTTGCTGTGCCAAAAGGCCTCTAGACATTCAAATTAGTAGACATATACCAATAGAAAACGTCCACCCTTGAGCACATAACATGATGATTCTTCACAATGAATTACAATAGCTGCAATGATCTCATCACACGTTATCATAATCGTATTCGGCAGGTGTCATGGTTTTAAAGTTCAAGAGATTAAGACATCTTTATCTTGAGAGATTTGAACGACGTTGCTAGGTTACGGCAGGTTGTATAAAGAATGCATAGGGTGAGCGAACGACTAGTCAGTGAGCCCAAGCTTTCACAAGCATGTGTGAGATATGGAGGGGATTATCCCCTGTTGTTATCGTATGGCCTTTCTGGACGCTTTGGGGCAATTATATGTCAATGGGACAACCCAGCAAACAGGGGATGTCTTGAGGACATTCGGCAACGTTCCCATTAGGTCCCTTAAGGGTTTCGGCGTGACGATATCCCTCTGACGTTCTGAGAACGTTCTAAGAATGTCGTGTGATGGTCCCATGGAAATGTTCTCTGGGGGACCTTTGTCTAGTTCCCTGTAAGTTCCCAGGACATTACATTTTTACATTTTAGTCATTTAGCAGACGCTCTTATCCAGAGCATTTTTCATACTGGCCCCCCATTGACATATTTCAGCAGTTTGAGTTTGGGTTCTTAATATAGTTGTCTAATGTTGGTGGGGCATATTATTCTGTTTTAATGTTACTCCTGAATTACTATGTTTTAATGTTACTCCTGAATTACTATGATAGATATAATCGTTTTTCTTGAGTGTATTTTTAACAGAGCTGAGATTTACTTTGAAGTGCGAATTGTAGGAATAGACCTACGGGTGAACTCAGTCATTCATACAGACATGCTGGCATAGCAGGACAATCGGAATGCTGTGAACCAAGAGATAGTGAGTGCAAATCCCAGGTGAAGACATGTTAAATAATAATTACTGTATGAATAAACACACACAATGTAATATATGTAAGTTGAAATCACTGTACAGTGTATGTTAAAAGCATTGTTTGTGTGTGGGTGTCCCTAGCATTCCCAAAAAGACAAAGAGCTGTGAATGGATCAGTGGTTCACCAATCAGGGCGTTGATGGACCATGTGCCTTAGGTAGAATGTTAGGAACATGGTAGCAGCACAAGACATGGTACAAACATTATTGGGCACAGACAACAGCACAAAGGGCAAGACTTGCAAAACAACAACAGTATAGTCAGAAAATAGAAGGTGATGGCTGCGATCAAAGTGTTAGTTGGAGGGTTGTCAAAAGATATAAATGTGTTCCCTCAGATTCACACTTTTGTCAGGCATATCTGGGATATGTGATAATGGCGTTGGTGTCACATTTCCACTGGTGTAAACTAAAACTAACCGAAGCATTTGGGTAGAGGCCACATGGGCACCTCCTGTTGTGATGCCACAGCTGTGCAGTGGCTACGGCCGAGTGTGTGGCAGAGTCTGTGGATATCTTCATCAACAACATCTCATTTTTGACTCATTAATTACGTGTGGTTACAGGGTAAAAACAGAAACAAATAAAAGGTTAACAGTTTATGCATTAATTCCGAGTGGTTAAGGTTAGGGCTATGGTTTGGGAAGACTTAAAACAAAATAATTTAAAAACGACACGCTATTACCATCAAGTATCATCAAGTATTTTCATGGCTTTGTGAACTGCGGTAGCGCAGTGGACTGAGCAGCACGCTTTGGTTCCGAACATCACGAGTTCGACTGAGCAGCACGCTTTATTTCCGAACATCACGAGTTCGCACCCAGAGCTGGGCAATTGTTTTTTTGTGAGCGCTGAGGAATGCATATAGTGAAGTTCTCAGGACCTTTTCAAACGTCCGACATCGAAGTCTATTTCTAGTGGTCATGATCTGAATACGGGTGTCAGTTTTCAACCGTGTGTGTGTTTGTGTGAGTGTGTGTGTGTGTGTGTTTGTGTGAGCGTGCCTGTGCGCTTGCGTTGGTGAGTGTGTTTGTGTGTGAGAGTGTGATGGAGTGTGTGACTCTTGGCCCTCAGCTGCCTGATTTCCTGAGGACACAGGGTCAGGCGGAGAGAGTGACAGTATCGGGTGAAAGAGCGTAACCTTTGGCTTTCTAAGCCAGGGAGGAATGTTATCTATATGCCCTGGCCTGCAAAGACCTTACTGAATATAGGTGGCTAACACATGGGCAAAGTACAAGTAGGGGTCTGTGAATTGTGACTGTACTTACAAAGAGGTGGAGGAGGTAGCGTGTGTGTGTGTGTGTGTGCGTGTGCGTGTGCGTGTGCGTGTGCATGTGTGTTAGTGTGTGTGTGTGTGTGTGTAACAGAGTGCATTCTGTTGTGCCCTGAGCAGGGATAGAACTGTGTGTGTGTAACAGAGTGCATTCTGTTGTGCCCTGAGCAGGGATAGAACTGTGTGTGTGTGTGTGTGCGTGTGCGTGTGTGTGAGTGTGTGTGTGTGTGTGTGTGTAACAGAGTGCATTCTGTTGTGCCCTGAGCAGGGATAGAACTGTGTGTGTGTGTGTGTGTAACAGAGTGCATTCTGTTGTGCCCTGAGCAGGGATAGAACTGTGTGTGTGTGTGTGTAACAGAGTGCATTCTGTTGTGCCCTGAGCAGGGATAGAACTGTGTGTGTGTGTGTGTGTAACAGAGTGCATTCTGTTGTGCCCTGAGCAGGGATAGAACTGTGTGTGTGTGTGTGCGTGTGCGTGTGTGTGAGTGTGTGTGTGTGTGTGTGTAACAGAGTGCATTCTGTTGTGCCCTGAGCAGGGATAGAACTTGCAATGTTTTACACAACATCACACGCAATTCAAAGCCAACCATCTTAGCCAATAGCACAAAAGACTAGTCTGTCACTGCGTGAGCGAAGTTTGCCTTTAGATCTCAGTAATCTCGTTTAACCAGAAGTAAAATTATCTCGCTAAAGTTTGTCATTTCCTTTTTTACATTCTGGGGGAATGCCGTTAACAATTGTGATGACCTTTGTGCAAAGGAAGGAAGCGAAGTCTCCTGCCTCGTAAACGGAAACTCTCGGCCAAACCCCTCCTTTCTGCTAATTTCACCCATGTTTATCATGGTAAAAAAGCAAACTTTTAGTTTTCATGAATTTTTACAATATAGACAATTTTGACTTTGTGGCTGTGGAATCTAGTGGAAAAAGGTTTATCATCCCACACAGGCTTGAAAATCACCGCACCAGTTTAAGAAGTGTCTTCGCCCAATCCTGATTCGTCCAACTAATCATTGACGAAAACCCCAAACCAGGAACTACTGCTGCTCGTAATCACATAATTCTACGTGAGCCTTGACAGATTAATCTGTCCATGAGAATTTGTCCATGAGAATCTGTCCACGAGAGTTTAAGATCTCAGGAAAAGTGTGATATCACTGATGTTTTCCAGCAAACATGCTACAGATGAGTTTCACATCCACTACACGTACAGTACCAGTCAAACGTTTGGACACACCTACGCATTCAAGGGTTTTTCTTTATTTTTTACTATTTTCTACATTGTAGAATAATAGTGAAGACATCAAAAGTATGAAATAACACATATGGAATCATGTAGTAACCAATAAAGTGTTAAACAAATCAAAATATATTTAATATTTGAGATTCTTCTAAGTAGCCACCCTTTGCCTTGATAACAGCTTTGCACACTCTTGGCATTCTCTCAACCAGCTTCACCTAGAATGCTTTTCCAACAGTCTTGAGGTCGGGGGATTGTGGAGGCCAGGTCATCTGATGCAGCACTCCATCACTCTCCTTCTTGGTAAAATAGCCCTTACACAGCCTGGATGTGTCCTTACACAGCCTGGAGGAGTGTTGGGTCATTGTCCTGTTGAAAAACAAATGATAGTCCCACTAAGCCCAAACCAGATGGGATGGCGTATCGCTGCAGAATGCTGTGGTAGCCATGCTGGTTAAGTGTGCCTTGAATTCTAAATCAATCACATACAGTGTCACCAGCAAAGCACCTCCTCCTCCATGCTTTATTGTGGGAAATACACATGCGGAGATCATCCGTTCACATTTACATTTACATCATTTAGCAGACGCTCTTATCGAGAGCGACCTACAAATTGGTGCATTCAATTTATGATAGCCAGTGGGACAACCACTTTTTTTCCCTTCTTTTTTTATGGGGGGGGGGGTAGAAGGATTACTTTATACTGTTCCAGGTATTCCTTAAAGAGGTAGGGTTTCAAGTGTCTCCGGAAGGTGGTCAGTGACTCCGCTGTCCTGGCGTCGAGGGGGAGCTTGTTCCACCATTGGGGTGCCAGAACAGCAAATAGCTTTGACGTGGCTGAGCGGGAACTGTGCTTCCGTAGAGGTAGGGGAGCTAGCAGGCCAGAGGTGGATGAACGTAGTGCCCTCGTTTGGGTGTAGGGTCTGATCAGAGCCTGAAGGTAAGGAGGTGCCGTTCCCCTCACAGCTCCGTAGGCAAGCACCATGGTCTTGTAGTAGATGCGAGCCTCAACTGGAAGCCAGTGGAGTGTGCGGAGGAGCGGGGTGACATGAGAGAACTTGGGAAGGTCGAACACCAGACGGGCTGCAGCGTTCTGGATAAGTTGTAGGGGTTTAATGGCACAGGCAGGGAGCCCAGCCCACAGCAAGTTGCAGTAATCCAGACGGGAGATGACAAGTGCCTGGATTAGGACCTGTGCCGCTTTCTGTGTAAGGTAGGGTCGTACTCTGCGAATGTTGTAGAGCATGAACCTGCAGGATCGGGTCACCGCTTTGATGTTAGCGGAGAACGACAGGGTGTTGTCCGGGGTCATGCCAAGGTTCTTTGCACTCTGGGAGGAGGACACAATGGAGTTGTCAACCGTGATGGAGAGATCATGGTACGGGCAGTCCTTCCCCGGGAGGAAGAGCAGCTCCGTCTTGCCGAGGTTCAGCTTGAGGTGGTGATCCGACATCCACACTGATATGTCTGCCAGACATGCAGAGATGCGATTCGCAACCTGGTTATCAGAAGGGGGAAAGGAGAAAATTAATTGTGTGTCGTCTGCGTAGCAATGATAGGAGAGACCATGTGAGGATATGACAGAGCCAAGTAACTTGGTGTATAGAGAGAATAGGAGAGGGCCTAGAACTGAGCCCTGGGGACACCAGTGGTGAGAGCACGTGGTGCGGAGACAGATTCTCGCTACGCCACCTGGTAGGAGCGACCTGTCAGGTAGGACGCAATCCAAGAGTGAGCAGCACCGGAGATGCCCAACTCGGAGAGGGTGGAGAGGAGGATCTGATGGTTCACAGTATCAAAGGCAGTGGATAGGTGTAGAAGGATAAGAGCAGAGGAGAGAGAGTTAGTTTTAGCAGTGCGGAGAGCCTCCGTGACACAGAGAAGAGCAGTCTCAGTTGAATGACCAGTCTTGAAACCTGACTGGTTTGGATCAAGAAGGTCATTCTGAGAGTGATAGCAGGGGAGTTGGCTAGAGACGGCACACTCAAGAGTTTTGGAGAGAAATGAAAGAAGGGATACTGGTCTGTAGTTGTTGACATCGGAGGGATCGAGTGTAGGTTTTATGAGGAGGGGTGCAACTCTCGCTCTCTTGAAGACCCACACCGCGTCTCACAAAGACACGGCGGTTGGAACCAAAAATCTCCAATTTGGACTCAAGACCAAAGGACAAATTTCCACCGGTCTAATGTCCATTGCTCGTGTTTCTTGGCCCAAGCAGGTCTTTTCTTCTTATTGGTGTCCTTTAGTAGTGGTTTCTTTGCAGCAATCGACCATGAAGGCCTGATTCACACAGTCCCCTCTGAACAGTTGATGTTGAGATGTGTCTGTGACTTGAACTCTGTGAAGCATTTATTTGGGCTGCAATTTCTGAGGCTGGTAACTCTAATGAAGTTATCCTCTGCAGCAGAGGTAACTCTGGGTCTTCCATTCCTGTGGCGGTCCTCATGAGAGCCAGTTTCATCATAGCGCTTGATGGTGTTTGCGACTGCACTTGAAGAAACTTTCAAAGTTCTTGAAATTTTCCATATTGACTGACCATGTCTTAAAGTATTGATGGACTGTCGTTTCTCTTTGCTTATTTGAGCTGTTCTTGCCATAATATGGACTTGGCATTTTACCAAATATGACTATCTTCTGTATACCCCTCCCTACCTTGTCACAACACAACTGATTGTCTCAAATGCAATAAGAAGGAAAGAATTTCCACAAATTAATTTTTAAGAAGGCACACCTGTTAATTGAAATGCATTCCAGGTGACTACCTCATGAAGCTGGTTGAGAGAATGCCAAGAGTGTGTAAAGCTGTCATCAAGGCAAAGGGTGGCTATTTGAAGAATCTCTAATATAAAATATATTTTGATTTGTTTAACACTTTTTTGGTTACTACATGATTCCATTTGTGTTATTTCATAGTTTTGATGTATTCACTATTATTCTACAATGTAAAAAATAGTAAAAATAAAGAAAACGCTTGAATGAGTAGGTGTGTCCAAACTTTTGACTGGTAGTGTACACGTCAACTATGACAGACAAAATGAGAAAAGAAAATCCAGAAAATCACATTGTAGGATTTTTAATGAATTTATTTGCAAATTATGGTGGAAAATAAGTATTTGGTCAATAACAAAAGTTTCTCAATACTTTGTTATATATCCTTTGCAATGACACAGGTCAAACGTTTTCTGTAAATCTTCACAAGGTTTTCACACACTGTTGCTGGTATTTTGGCCCATTCCTCCATGCAGATCTCCTCTAGAGCAGTGATGTTTTGGGGCTGTCGCTGGGCAACACGGACTTTCAACTCCTTCCAAAGATTTTCTATGGATTTGAGATCTGGAGACTGGCTAGGCCACTCCAGGACCTTGAAATGCTTCTTACGAAGCCACTCCTTCGTTGCCCGGGCGGTGTGTTTGGGATCATTGTCATGCTGAAAGACCCAGCCACGTTTCATCTTCAATGCCCTTGCTGATGGAAGGAGGTTTTCACTTAAAATCTCACGATACATGGCCCCATTCATTCTTTCCTTTACACGGATCAGTCGTCCTGGTCCCTTTGCAGAAAGCATGATGTTTCCACCCCCATGCTTCACAGTAGGTATGGTGTTCTTTGGATGCAACTCAGCATTCTTTGTCCTCCAAACACGACGAGTTGAGTTTTTACCAAAAAGTTATATTTTGGTTTCATCTGACATTCTCCCAATCCTCTTCTGGATCATCCAAATGCACTCTAGCAAACTTCAGACGGGCCTGGACATGTACTGGCTTAAGCAGGGGGACACGTCTGGCACTGCAGGATTTGAGTCCCTGACGGCGTAGTGTGTTACTGATGGTAGGCTTTGTTACTTTGGTCCCAGCTCTCTGCAGGTCATTCACTAGGTCCCCCCGTGTGGTTCTGGGATTTTTGCTCACCGTTCTTGTGATCATTTTGACCCCACGGGGTGAGATCTTGCGTGGAGCCCCAGATCGAGGGAGATTATCAGTGGTCTTTTTTGTCTTCCATTTCCTAATAATTGCTCCCACAGTTGATTTCTTCAAACCAAGCTGATTACCTATTGCAGATTCAGTCTTCCCAGCCTGGTGCAGGTCTACAATTTTGTTTCTGGTGTCCTTTGACAGCTCTTTGGTCTTGGCCATAGTGGAGTTTGGAGTGTGACTGTTTGAGGTTGTGGACAGGTGTCTTTTATACTGATAACAAGTTCAAACAGGTGCCATTAATACAGGTAACGAGTGGAGGACAGAGGAGCCTCTTAAAGAAGAAGCTACAGGTCTGTGAGAGCCAGAAATCTTGCTTGTTTGTAGGTGACCAAATACTTATTTTCCACCATAATTTGCAAATAAATTCATAAAAAATCCTACAATGTGATTTTCTGGAGAAAAAAAATCTCAATTTGTCTGTCATAGTTGACGTGTACCTATGATGAAAATTACAGGCCTCTCTCATCTTTTTAAGTGGGAGAACTTGCACAATTGGTGGCTGACTAAATACTTTTTTTCCCCACTGTATGTGTCTACACGCTCCATACAGCATATTAGTTTGTATTGAATCAGCGTACCGTCCGTCCCTGTAATGCTCAATCATTCATGGACTCCAGTCCACTTCTTCTCCACAGTGAGCGATCTACAGTATATTGCTGAAAAGGCAACTGCATCAGTCAATTTATTTATGATGACTTTGGCACCAACTTGGCAACACGCCAGCGGGCGTGTATTTGTAATGTATTTGTAATGTATTTGTAATGTATTTGTATTGTATTTGTAATGTATTTGTAATGTATTTGTAATGTATTTGTAATGTATTTGTATTGTATTTGTAATGTCTTTGTAATGTATTTGTAATGTATTTGTATTGTATTTGTAATGTATTTGTAATACCGCACAAGTCTGTCCCAGTAGATGAGCTCGGCTGCAGCAGAAATCCCTCTAGTAGTTATCCAGGCGATGCATCTCGGCCCAACAAAAGGGGTCTTGTCTGGACACAAAAGACAGGATTTAGTGGGGTGGAGGCAAGAGGGCGGGTTGGAGGAAAGGGGGGGTGTAGAGAGAGACAGAGAGTGAGAGAGAAAGAGAGAGAGTGAGAGGGTGAGTGTGAGAGAGAGCTAGAGAGTGGGGGAGTGAGAAAGAATAAAGAGAAGGTGGGGAGAAAATAGAGTGAGGGGGAAAGAGAGAGTGGAGGAATGTAAATGGAGGAAGAGAGTGAGAGAGAAAGAGAGAGAGTGGAGGAATGTAAATGGAGGAAGAGTGTGAGAGGGAGGGAGAAGGTAGGGCAAGAAAGAGAGAGAGTGTGTAAGAGTGAGGGGCCTGTTTCAGTTTTGTACACACAATCAGGCTGATGGAAACTGGTGTGGAAGTGAGATGAACAAAAGGCTAAGTGCTGAATAGTTACCATGACTGTATGGTAGGAAGGTCTTGGCTGGCAGACTGCTTGAAAAGGGAGCAGGATGTGAGGTTTCTGTACTGAGGCTGAGATGTTTACAGTTGGACAGAAGGACACATGCAAACAGACACATGTGTAAACACACACGTACAGGTATGGGAACGTTGTGTGCACGCATACACACATACACATAAACACTATACACTCACGTGCACACAGTCTCTCAGTGTCCTTCTTTTATCTATCTCTCTCTCTCTCTCTCTCTCTCTCTCTCTCTCTCTCTCTCGCTCTCACACCAAAATCTAATTAAACCTCCCCATATTTCTTCTGGAGCTGACATCGATATCATTTCATCAGAAGGCCAGGGGCACACACACTCCATACTGTTATTCCACTGCTTTAAGTCAGTCAGTCAGTACTAGAGGAAAGAAGCAGGGGGACTCCCTGGGGAAGTAAAATATAACAATGTTATTATTTTATTACTATCATTTGACAATAAGCACTTATTTTGAGAGTCACTGCTGTAGGCCTTCTGTAGTTGCCTATCTACTGACATTAGCTAGTTGAGTCTAAACCCCTTTTTTCCTCTCCTTGTGGTTTGGGGACTCATGTTTTATGTGTGTGTGTGACAGATAGTAAAGTGGGTTTTATTTCCGACTCCCCTGCTTAATCATAGGCTCGAGATTGCATCAATTCATCATCCTGTCAGCTCTGGCTGTAACATCTGGGAGACAGAAAGATCTAGGCTTGGGAGTGACTGCTGGGAGGCCAATAGTTGTCATGCCTTAAGCCTTAACCATGTGTTTCAAGCTATCACTAACTAGTTAGCATAGCATTGCTTTTTACGCCGCAGCCGTGTATTATACGATAGCTCTAACTATTTAGAATTTCCGCATAGCATTTCTCCAGGGTTTGTCCCTGGGTTTTTAGCTAGTGCTAACTAGCTAACAATGATCTGCATAGCGCTGGTAAGGTAATGTGTTTTAAGCTAGCATGATCCTTTTTTGCATTGCCGTTGCTTAAGCTTAGCCTAGCCATGTGTTTTAAGCTAATTATTTAGCATTGCTAGTATTACTTTAGGGTTCATCCATGTAGTATTGACATATAGTCTGGTGGCCTTTGTCAGCGATGTTACATAACTAGCGAGGCTTAGTGAGAAGCAGTAGGTCTTGCAAGAATAAGGAGAAGCCCAGATTTACTGCAAAATAACACATTGGTTCAAGCAGACGGGCTGTAGCCAGTCATTGATTATGGTATACACTGCCCCAAGACTGCCAAAGTCAAAACGTGTCAAGCTACGTCACAGGAGGTTGGTGGCACCTTAATTGGGGAGGACGGGCTCGAGGTAATGGCTGGAGCGGAATAAGTGTAATGGTATCCTGCAGGCTGACTTCGGTCGTCAGTTGAACAGTGTTCCCTCCGACACATTGGTGCAGATGGCTTCCGGGTTAAGCGAGCGGGTGTTAAGAAGCGCAGCTTGGCGGGTCATGTTTCGGAGGACGCATGACTCGCCCTTCGCCTCTCCCGAGCCCGTTGGGGAGTTGCAGCGATGAGACAAGATCGTAATCACGAAATAGGGGAGAAAAATCACATTACATATGTGAACAATAATAATTATATTATATTTTACAATGATTTACATCTCTCTCCTATCTGTGTCTCTCCCAGGTTCTCGAGGTCGGATGAGCTGTCGCGACACCGGCGGTCCCACTCAGGGATCAAGCCTTACCAGTGTCCAGTGTGTGAGAAGAAATTTGCCCGCAGTGACCATCTGTCAAAACACATCAAAGTCCACCGCTTTCCGCGAAGCCGGACCCTGCGCACAGCAAACTGACCCCACCCGGATCACTCTTCAATGGACATAGGCCAAGGGAGCACGGAGTGTGTGTGTGTGTGTGTGTGTGTGTGTCTGTGAGATGGAATTTGTGTGAATGTGTATGTGTGAGAGTGTGGTATGACTAATGGAGAGAGAGAGAGAGAGAAAGAGAGAGCGATGGACATGGAAGGTTTATGTGTGTGCCTTGCCTTTTAGAGAGATCTATAACGGTGGTCTTGTGCTATAATTTATTGTAGAAAGCAAAAACATGCAACAACCAAGCAAAACCAACAAATGAAACTTACCATCTTCTCAGTAATCAAAATTTCTTGAGATTCTTGTTGCTGTTGGTACTTTTGTATGTTGTACTCTTTTAATTTGTTTTTCTGTTCTGTCTTTATTTTTCAATGAAAGATTAGCTTTTTTCATTCGAGATGAAATGTATTAATTGCATTAGTAATAGCCTTGTGTTTCTATTTTACCTGGATATGACTGCCTTTTATCTTTTTAGGAAGCACCAATGCCTTTGACATTCCTCATCCAAGTCAGGTTGAAGTTTCTCCTTGTTTTTAGCCTTGTCGCTCATAGCCCATTGACAGAGGGTAGAGAACAGCTTACTCATTCATCACACTGTTTATTCAGAGGGAGGGGCAGAGCCTATTGTCAATTCTGTTTATTCAGAGGGAGGGGCAGAGCCTATTGTCAATTCTGTTTATTCAGAGGGAGGAGCCTATTGTCAATTCTGTTTATTCAGAGGGAGGAGCCTATTGTCAATTCTGTTTATTCAGAGGGAGGGGCAGAGCATATTGTCAATTATGTTTGTTCAGAGGGAGGGGCAGAGCCTATTGTCAATTCTGTTTATTCAGAGGGAGGGGCCTATTGTCAATTCTGTTTATTCAGAGGGAGGGGCAGAGCCTATTGTCAATTCTGTTTATTCAGAGGGAGGGGCAGATCCTATTGTCAATTCTGTTTATTCAGAGGGAGGGGCAGAGCCTATTGTCAATTCTGTTTATTCAGAGGGAGGAGCCTATTGTCAATTCTGTTTATTCAGAGGGAGGAGCAGAGCCTATTGTCAATTCTGTTTATTCAGAGGGAGGGGCAGAGCCTATTGTCAATTCTGTTTATTCAGAGGGAGGGGCCTATTGTCAATTCTGTTTATTCAGAGGGAGGGGCAGAGCCTATTGTCAATTCTGTTTATTCAGAGGGAGGGGCAGAGCCTATTGTCAATTCTGTTTATTCAGAGGGAGGGAAAGAGCCTATTGTCAATTATGTTTATTCAGAGGGAGGGGCAGAGCCTATTGTCAATTCTGTTTATTCAGAGGGAGGAGCCTATTGTCTGTACATGAACTACTGATAACAAGCTACTGGAACTCTCCTCAAGTTCCAGAAAAACCTCACCGGCTCCGATTCTGAAACAAGGCTGGTGAAAGTAAAAAAAATTGAACAAAGAAAGAATTGCGCACATTTATGATTGTTGATTGTTTTATGTGTAAAAAAGGCCTTCCAATCAGTGTTAGATGTTGTATTCAGCTTTTTATTCTAAACTCATGTTGTGTATTTGTTGGGCTTTTTCGTGTCAGTGGCTCAAGCCGTTTGTAAGACACTTGTCTGGCCTTAATCCACTACAGGATCCTTACCAGGGGGGCAAAATCCTAAAATAGCAAGTTATTAATCACAGACATATGGAGAAACGGTGATATGGTTTGAGAGCATGAGGAAAGGGAATTGGAAATGCATAATCCTTTACTCACACAGCATACATGTCCATGGAATTGAATCTCAATTAGCTTTTTCTCTCCTTTTTGCTGTTGACACAAAATCTGCCTCAAATCAGCTACCCAATCTGATCTGTTACTGGAATACCCCACAAGCTCTTGCCCTCACGCGGTTATATTGGCGTGAGGTTATCATGTATGTGGATACTACTACACCACGGTGCTGAACAACCGGAAGAACTGCCTTCTGGGAACTGTTGTCACAACACACTTATTGAGGCCATGGCACAGTTGTCATTATTCTTGATGTCCTGTTTGCTCTTGAGACTTGTTTATTAAGTATGCCACGCCCTGTTGTGATTGTACGGTGTGTGAGACACCGTCCATGCATAGTTCATCTAATGTTCGCAGATGAAAAAGCAGGGGTACACTATATTGTACATCATTCCGTTCATTCAATTTTTGAATTTTTAATGCTTGTTTAAACACAGGTGTTTTATCGCATCCTATGAATGCATGTGAATACGCCGGAGTGTAAATAGCTGCATCCATGCGGAACACACAGAAGACTATTGTAATAACATATCTTAAGGCCTAGATTGAGGACTCTATTCAATCTGTAAAGTTGAAGTGTAATTTCCGATTGAGCTGACATATGCAATGTTTACCGTGAATCCAGTCTCCGCTAAAGCAGGAACCTTGCCTTTAAATTTAAATCACGCTGTAAAGTTGAACTTCCGCGATGCGGATTGAATAGAGCCCTCAATCAGATCAAGCGTTAACTGGTGATAGCCGACACCCGCATAGCTGATGTTTTGGCGGTGTTGGTGGTGGAACTGCGTTGGAACTGTCAAATCGTTGAGCAGCTGCTCTTGTGATCATTGTCATGAAGCCACACCCATCCCACTTGCATAAGAAGTTCAGAACAAGAAAATGTAGGCTATATAGAAATAATTACGCTCAAATTGAAAATCATTCAACAAAATAAAGAGGATTTCTATCATCCTAATGGAGGTGTAAATTACATCTCACATTCCAGTGTTCCAACTTGTAAACAAGGCTGCATGGGATTTATCTTAATGTGACTCCTTGCAGCCAATGGCAATGTCCGCTTTAGGTATAATGCTGGGAGCTGCTTGTGGATTTGACAGCTCTAATGCAGTTCCACCTCGGACACTGTCAAAACATCAGCTATGTGGATGTCGGCTAATGCGGATCTGATTGAATCGGGCCTTTAGTCTGTGGTTGTGAAGATTTCTAGTGTAAGCCCTAAACGTGTACATAACACAACGTTTCAGTACATATGAATATATTATATATTTTTCTTTGTTCTACCCAAGATGCATTTACAAATAAAATGAAAAGAAACGATCCTGTGAACTATACTTTTTATTATTTCTTCACATTTTCTCATGTGACTTTATTACAGCAATGAATTCTCAATGTTTAGGGGCAACACATCATTGTTTAAAGTAACTGTCCATTGAAAATCTCACTTTTAAAAGTTAATATTCTGTTATTCTGTTGTTGACTCATCCTATACTCAAAATGTATGTCCAAAACATAAATTGGAGAAAAGAACACACCTCAAACTTGTTTCTCAAACAGACTGTTTCAAAAATGCTTGCTATTTCCTCATAAAGGATGATGTCATCCTCCTCAGGAAGATGAACTGGCCAATCAGCGATCTCCTTGCATGAAATTTTTTAATGACCAGTATACTCCCACAACATTCTGTTGTTGGGGTACACCCACACCATTCCAACACAGAAAAGTTTATTTTTAACATACTTCATCACAATTTTTGGAAGGAAAACTATTTAACTCATATTGTAATTAATTTAGGTCATATTTTTCATGTTAACAAATCTTGTAATTCACTGAATTTTAAGCAAATTCATAAGCGACTTGCAAAGAAAGTGTCACTAGGTTTTGAATTTGGGATAGTGTGGCTGGATTATAATTACCTTGGTGTTGTTGATGGGTACATTTGATTTTGGACAGATAGAAAGAAAATATTGCATAGTACTGTATGTCTAACAATGACAGAATATATGAAACTGGAGAATTTAGGTTTTAAATAGGGCTGTTCATATTCAGAAATATTGGAGTCGATTCTGATCACTAACTGTAAGTCGTCTGCTAAATGAATCCTAAGTTCCTGGAGTCGGAAATCAAGAGTCGATTTCAAAATAGGAGACAAACAGGTACAAAATACATTTACACAATTGTTGTAATGTGTATGTGTTGTTTGCACCAAAAATAATACACAAATTCTCACTAATTTGAATGAAAATATCACATTTCTACCATGTGCACTCACCGAAATCATAATCACAAAACATGAACTTCATGAAAAAGGACAGGAACCGATTCCTTGTGAAGGAGTCCCGATTCCCAATTCCAGTCATTGTTAGAATCAGTAATCAACTATTTTTGCGATCAACTTCCAGCCCTAGTTTAGAACCGACTTGTTTGGCTACATCAATGCCCCTCAACCCACCCTCCGATTCCTAGAACTCAGAGAACACAAAGATGAGACTGAGAGGCAGAGAGCATTTAAATTAATTCGGAACATCCAGTTCCTGCCAAGCCCCAATGTAATGTAAAGTAAACATGTGGACACCATTTTAGATATATGGCCTCTCTATTTACGTGATTTCCATTTTAATCAGCGCGTGCGTCTATATGCACGCCCTGACATATACATTACAAGCAGCAGTCGAAAGCATTTAGTGTTCCATGTGCAAAATGTGCTGACTCACCCACCATCAGAAGACAGTCAAAATGTTGTTATGGATTTGGAGAAATAAAGAGGGGGGTCGGAGGACTTTAAAATGCTTACATTCGCCCAGGAATAGGTCTGGTTTGGTGATGTGGGGAAAACGGGTTAGGATACTCGTTTATTTTTATTTTTAAGAACAACAATTTTTACACATTTGCCTATTTCTTTTTGACTTGACAAGATTTCACTTGCTTTCCATCAATAGGAGATTATGGTGTCTGTATTAGGACATCCTCAGTCTCAGCACAATTTATTCCATCAGGAAAAACCAACAGTAGGTATTCTCAGTTCAATTCAAACAACTTAATCCACTTAGGGCAATTACTACTTTAATTGCTTCAGACATACAACAAACAGTCACAGAGACAATAAATACACAAGAAACATGAGAGACAATGACTAAAAAGTGCAGCGCAATAAATATTCTATGAGTTATATTATCTCAGTCAAAGGACACCCCATTTCGAAAACATTGTGTACACTCACAAACATCTGGCAATGTATACAGGAAGACATAT